CTGTGTTCCTGGGAGAGGGCAGATCTTACGAAAGATCAGCCACAGAGTCCGCAGAAGTCCACACATTGGAAATTGAGGTGCGCGACAACGTGCACACCCCTTGGACCCATGTGCTGGAAAATAGAAAATCCAATGACGCTACTGAGGACGGGGTCCGGGACTTTTTCAAAATGTTTCAAGAAAATTCTCCCAAGAATTTTGAAAATTTAGACTCAAAGGTTCACGCGACGACGACTCAGGCAGCAAGATGATAGATTGGATTACTCTGCGACGACGATATGTATGCAAGATAATAAATAAAAATTCGGGCCCGCGACGTTCACGGACGGTGGAACGAGCTGGTCTACTGCTCATCCACCTCCATGGCAGTCTCACCCGCGGCGACGGAGCCCTCGTCCTCGACGTTCTCGTCCTCGACGTTCTCGTCGTCGACTTTCCCGTCGTCGGCGTTCTCGTTGCCGGCAGACCCGTCTTCTTCACCCTCCGCGTCTTCATCCGAAGCGGCCTTGGTGGACTCGGCCGAGGTCTCGCTGTAGTTGTCGGAAAAGTCCAAGACCTGTAAGACGGCTTGGGACGACGACGCAACAGGAGGCGGCGATGGCGAAGGCTGGGGCGACGAAGAGGGCGCACGGGTACGACTACTCGCCAAGTGCGCGACGTCGATCTCGTGGTCCTTGCCAGGTTGGAACGCTTGATCTTGAACGGTCGCGGGGTCCGACTTGTCGAATTCCTGGGCCTTCTCGATCTCCCTCTGGAACTGCTTCTCCATCTTTTCCATCTCGCGATAGAAAAAGGGATCGAAGAAGGCAGGGGGTGCTGCGAACCGCTCGTTTGCCTCGCCATCCAACAAGTCCCCGTGGGCCAAGATCATCTGGACACCCTTGCGGATGTCGGCCATCTCGGCGGCGTCGATCTCGGTCGCGGTGTGGACGAACATCGCCTTGATGCGTTCGTCCGAGCCGTCGTCGAAATGCTCCTTCAGCTGACCAACGAAATCGCGGAACTGGCCAATGGCCAGGACGCGGATCTCGTTGGCCGTGCGAAGAAGCCCGCCGTACGCGTCCAAGGTGTCGGCGAGACGGTTGGCGGACTTGTTGAGATCTGAAGACGTCGTCAGAAACGATCAAAAATAGAAATGAATGATAAGAGTGGACTCTTACCGTCCGCGCTCATCTGCGCGATGTACCCGAAGCGTTGCCCCATATACAGCTGCTCCGCGGGCTTGTAGCCGTTGGTGCAAGTCTGTTTATAGAGCACGCACGGGGCGCACCGATTGCCGTGGCGCCCGTCGACGCTCTTGAAGCAGACGCGCTGCCGCGTCACGCACATCGCGCAGGGCCTTGGCGCGACCTCCTATGAAAAGGGAGTCAGTCGTCGAGGCATGGCAGAAAAAGATAAAAGAACGCACGAAGTCAGTGGGCACCTCTACGCCGGCCCTTTCCAACTTCCCCGCGAACCCTTGGCGTGCCACCGAAAGGAGCGCCTCGGTGTCGTAGGCGGCGGGAGTGAACGGAGCTCGGGGCGTGGGAGCCGACGCCTTTGCAGGAGTCTAGAAACAGTCAAGTCAGTAAAAAGTTGACGACAAGAAAAAGTCGCGACTCACCGAGTCAGATTTCTTCTTGGCCGCCGCAACGGACTTTTCTGCCTTCTGAGCCTTGAGCTCGGCCTTGGCCGCAGCAACACTCCGCTCGCGACCAAGGGTCGCGGCCACCCTGCCCAACTCACTGCGTGGAGTCTTGGTAGTGGCGGGAGCCGCCTGGGCAACCTAGAAAAGAAAGAAAATTGAGTTAGTCGACGTCTGGAACCCAAGATTAGTGTCTCACCTTAGCCACTGGGGTCGGGGTAGTCGTCGCTCGCGGGGCGCTCGCCTTGCGACTGGCCTCCACCTTTGGCACCGGTTGGTGGGGCACGGACTTGGTCGACTTGGATGATCCATCCGTGACCTTCTTGATTGGCTAAAAAGCTGGATTAAGGGGCGTGGTCTGGGAAAAGGAGTCGGCTTACCTTGGGCTTGACGCGGGTCTCGTTGACCTGCTTCTTGGCCACGACGAAGTCGCCGGTCTCCTCTCCACTCTCGGAGGTGTCGTCCATGACGATGATGGACGGGGCTACAAAAGTATGAGTAATCGACAGAGGGGGACAAGAGGAAAACGTACTCAGATTCGATCGCGCTTTCCCCTTGGACTTGGGCCCCTGTCAAAAACAAACCAACCATGAGACGAAGGAACCGCGATCGACGAACTGGGTCACTTACCTGAAGGGCCAGCTCGTCGACCGATGACGCGTCTCCCTCCTGGACCCCCTCGTCGTCGACATCCATCGCAGTGTCAGCGACGGCGGCGGCTTCCTCATCGCTGAGGGACTCGGGCTGCACGGGCTGTGCTTGGATCCGGGCTGGGAGGGACCAAGTGGTTAGTCTAAAGATCAATGAAATAAGACATAGGATCACGCACCTGCGTGCGTCTTCTTGTGGACGCGCTTGGGAGGTGACCCCTGTGGAACAGGGACCGAGGTAGCGGCTACGACAAGTCAGTACCCGCGACTCTGGTGAATGAAAGGAAAGAGCCACTTACGAGTAGGCGCGTGGGACGACGCCTTGGGCTCCTTTGCAGGAGTCGCCTTGGGTCGCTTCCCCTGCAACTTCTCGCTCGACTTCTTGGCGACGGCGACCTTGCTGCCCGCGACGGCGGCAGGGGCCTGTGGCTTGGAGCCGTCACCCTTCCCCTTCTGCTTGACAGGCCGGGACGACGAAGGGGCGGCGACTTGCTCGGTTGGAGCCGCCTGGGGGTCGATCAGAACATAGTAAACGAATGAAACAGATTACACGTACGGGTTCGACGACTCGTTTGCGTTTCTTGGGCGGCGACGACTCCTCGACTGGAGCGTTGGTGGTCAAGGGCGTAGACGCCGGCTAGCCCTTACGTTAGTGAAAAGAAGGAAGGCCAAAGCGAACAGGCGCGGCAATCATTGATCGCCGTGACTGCTCGCTCCAGCGGGCTTAGAACGGAGCTCACCTGCTGGATCTGGCGGACGTCGACGGCCATCTGCCGCAACATCTGGTTGTAGGCCTCGGGGCTAGGCAGGTGGTGAGCTGAGTCGACAAGCCATGGGAGAGACATTGACTGACGGCATGAACTGCCGCCAGTCGATGGCAGGCAGGTTTGCTCCCGGGACAGCTGATTCGGTGACGGCTGATGGACGGTTAGCGTGGTTGAAAAAGTCGCGGTAATCGTCCTGGGCGTCACTCACGGTTGGTGTCTTGGGGGCGGGGGCTCTGGTCGGGCGCGGACATGGTGGTCGAAAAGCAAGAGTGTCTCGTACTAGTGAGACTCTCGACCCTGAAAATTGAGGGCATTTATATGGTGAACATGCCGGAAGAAGTTTGATCGCGGCAGATCACGGAAGGAACCGAACAACCAAATGAATAAGACGTGGGAACATAACTCTATGTCTCCGCGGCTTTAATAATAAATGAATGAGACGTCGACTGTTGGACTCAGACCTGACGCAGTGAGACTGTCGCGGGATTGACCAGGAGGTCAAAATTAGTGTTCCTGGGAGATGATAGGCTGGCTACCAGACGCGCTCTGCACCAACTCTGTAAGGGCGTATTTTTGCGCTTTTTACAGAGTTTACTCTTGAACCACTCGGTGTATCGTGTCGCGGTTGACAGTGTTGCGCTCAGTAGGACTTAAGGGTCTACTGCCCAGTCGACGACTGTGGATAGTGTCGACGATAGCAAGGCAGTCAGATCACTACTGTGGAACTGGTCTTATGAGTCTACACCAGGCTCAGGGCCATTAGTGACGAACGCTTGGACCGCGACCATTCCCCAGAAAGGGATCTGTCGTTGCGTCGACTTCTCAAAAGGGTCATTCTCTGCAGATGGGAACTTGGGCTGAAGGGCTGAGCAATGTGCGACGTTCTCAATAATAGAACTACTACTGGACAGGACTTGGCGTTACGAGACTTAAACCATCTTGTCGCGGCAACTCCCGGTTTTGAGTTGGACGTTTCCTCAGATCATGCCACGACGACGACTTGTCACATGTCAGGATCCATTCGATCACGGGACATTGTGGACGCGTCGCGGTGACACTTCCAAGTGTCACGGCGAGTCGCGCCCATACCCAAACACACTAAAACCAACACGGCTAGATCCGTGAACCGAGCCATGTGGGAGACGACTGGCGTGCCTAGGGCCATACGGCTTCTTGGGGCGCCCACGTTGGTCTCACTTGCCAAGACATACCCGTTGGCCAATCCAGCACGTCGTATTCCAAAGTATGACGCGGTGGGTTGACCCACATCAAAAGTATCATATGGACAATGGGGCGGGGTCCTGATCACTCAGGACCTGTCCGATCATTCAACTTTTCAATTACCCTAAAAGGCAACCGATCTTAGATAGCGTAGCTACTATGCAGTTGTACAGGACTTTACTAAGCATCGTCGTAGACAGTATAAGTAGCACGACGTTTCTTTGTATTAGAGAGCTTTCCCCCGGACTGTGAATCACTATCATTTCAGATTGTTTTGTACAATTTGCGTGCCGTGTGATTCCACCCTAAGAAGTTCTACTACCCCTGCCCGGTCGCGACGAGTTGCTCCCTGAGCACTTGTAGCTACTGTGATTTGAGTTTGAGTTGAGACATCAGAAAGTCGGATTCGCCGCATCTGGTTTAGTCGCGGCATTTAGTGTCGTCGCCTTTGGGCTTTGTTGAGATCGTTCCACACCTGTAAGGGCAACTCCTGCCAGCCCGAAGGAAGAGAGCACACAGCACACAACAACCTCACATGAGTCTGAGCACAGAGGGGGATCCTTAGAGACTATCAAATACAAGGGAGGTATACTACTCACCTGAGCACAGAGGGGGATCCTTAGAGAACGGTTCAAGGATCCATGTGCCCAGGTGTCACACTATATAGTCAGCTGTGACAAGTGACTGATGATGATGGGATATCACTGCCATGGAACAATGGCAGATGACAAGTAGATAATGACAAACCCAGATAAGATAGTGAGTGGCTCAGAGGGGCCAGTGATGGCCAGCTCCTGAGACACCAACAGTGGAAGGCCACACTGGAGGAGCCCAGTGGCCAGGCCAGTGCCGGGCCGGCCAGTGGAGGCATCGGAGGCGAGGACCAATGCCCGACTGGGAAGAGGGGTGGTACGGATGAGCGCAAGGCATCTGGTACGAGCCTGTACGGCAGTAGACCACATCCGCGGGAAGAAGGCCGAAGTAGAGGGGGAGGAGTGCGTACGGCAGTAGCACTCCCTGGTGCAAGGAATCGGGCTTGGCTAGACCGCTTGCGGGGATTTGAGGGAGATGGCCAGGGGAAGAAGGGAGAGGGCGGATGTCGGCATGGATGGAGGTGAGGATCGGAGGAGGAGGAGGAGGCTGGGTGATCGACAGGTGAGCAGGCACGGGTCGGCAGAGAGGGCGCAGCGGGTCACGTGCATGGTCACGTGCCCAAGGAGCGCGGCGTCCCCTGACAACACCTCTAGCTTGGCAGTGCGTCGACTAGTGGTGCTCGGGTTGTTTTGGTCAGTTGGCAGTGCGTCGACTTGAGAACTTTGGTTCCACACTTCTTGCTTGGCAGTGCGTCGACAAGTTGTGCTCGGGTTTTGGACATTGGATATTGGCTGTTAGTTGGCAGTGCGTCGACGCGGCATCTTGGTTTACTAGTTGGCAGTGCGTCGACTCAGTACTTTTGGTTGTGTCAGTTGGCAGTGCGTCGACTTGACATTTTGGTTTACTAGTTGGCAGTGCGTCGACTCAGTATATTGGTTGCATTGGTTGGCAGTGCGTCGACTTGATATTTGGGCTTTGCGTCACCATCTAGACGCTGTCGCTACAAGGGATCTTAATACTTCGTATTAAGTTCTGACTTGTTATATTGTTTGTTTGTGGATTGGATTAGTGTTGGTTGTGTTCGTATAGAAGATATTGGTTGAGATACCATTGTTTGCTATATATAAATTCTTGTCGTCGACTTCGCCTCCGCGACTATTGGACCTGTGTCTATTGAGAGTTGTGATACTGGTGCTCTGTCCACCCCGAAGCCCTCGCATCTTTCACACACTGAGAAGCTGATTACGAGGAGTGTGAACGTGTTTTATATTTGGGTTTACTTTCATAGTAGATTCACTTGTGAGCACGCCCTCAGCATTTTCAGCGGGTCCAGGCGTTTTTAACGGCCAAGCGGCCAACTCACGACCTCTCATCCGCCCCAACCCCCCCTTTGCGTTCGATGGGGATCGCACCCAGGGCAAGACGTTTCTCCATTCCGTCAAGCAGTACTGGCGCCTCCTCCCTGAGGCCTTCCATGTGAACGGGGTGGTATCAGAAGAAAAGGTGGTACACTTTGCCCTCTCCTACATGTCCAAGGACTCGGCGGCCTCCTGGTCGGAATGTATGTCAGAGCGCCTCGTCTTCCCATTCCCGACCTGGTCTTCCTTCGTCGCCGAGTTCAAGCTCCGGTTCGTTGAGGAGAACAAGCAAGACCACACCCTGGCACGGCTGGAGACCCATGCCTACTACATGGGATCCCGCGACGTGTTCAAATACACGGATGAGTTCGACGACCTCCTCGACTTGGTGGGATACTCCGACAACTTGGTCAAAGTCACCAAGTACCGGGCGGGTCTAGACCCCAGGATCAATCAGGCGATCACGACCTCCGGTAACCCACCCAGCCTCACAAACTACTCGGATTGGCGCACCCGTGCATTCCGCCAGTACAACGCTGAGGTGGCTGCCCGGGCCGCACGAGGACAGGCGTTCTCTCCACACTGCGCCCCGCCTCCGGTGGCTCCCCGTCCCCGCCCCGTGGCTGCTCCGGTGGTTGCTCCACCTCCTGCTCCCCGACCAGCCCCAGTAGTCCTCCCACTGGGCATCCCCATGGAGATAGACCGAACCAGAGCCCGCACCAGTGTTCGTCGCACCTGCTTCCGATGCGGCAGCCCAGGACACCTGGCCCAAGACTGCCCGACCCCCGCTGATGTCCGGCACGCTGACATCCTGGACGAAGTGATCAATCAGCTGGGAAGCGACCTGTTGGCGGAATTAGTGGCCCGGCTAGCGACTACAGCGGCTATAGAAGATCACGAAGCGGAGATTGCCGACGAGTTGGAGCAGGGTTTTCTCCCCCGCGACGAGTGAATAGTACGCCCTCGATCGCCTCACGTAATCGTTTTGAATGTCTGTATGATGAATGCGACCTCATTTCCCTTGCAAACGAAACGATAGATGTACCCCCTGCCTCTCGCTCTGTCCCGCTGGTCCGCAAGGAAAAGTGGGAACGAAAACTCCCTCAGCGCTATGCACCTCCCCCTAGAGATCCAGTCCACCGACAACGCAGTCCAGCTCGCCCTCAATGGACTGGTCGACTGCGGCGCCACGTCGGACTTCATTGACTCCACCTACGCCTCCGAAAACCAACTTCCGGTCCGGCAGCTCTCCCAGCCTATCCCAGTCTACAATGTGGACGGCACGCCAAATGAAGCCGGCTCCATTCAACAAGTTGCCGATGTGGTCCTGCGTTACCAAGGACATAGCGAGCGTGTCCAGCTTGCCGTCACTCGGCTTGGCAAGCAGAAATTGATCCTCGGCTATTCCTGGCTTCGGAAGCACAACCCGGAGATCAATTGGGACACCCAGGAGGTAAAGATGAGCCGCTGCCCGTCAGGCTGTTCCACCTGCACCGAGGAGTCTCGCCAAGAGAGACGGATAGCCCGGATTTCGGCCCGAGCACTCCGATCAGCCCGACAAGGCCCTGCCCCCTCCATCTGCGTCGTTGATATCGAAGACCGCGAAGACGAGGCTATGCCATTGCTCCAGGAAGACAACGGAGAAGATTCCGACAAAGAAGAAGATTGTCTGGAAACCGGTGACCATATCCTCTACACCCGTTTCAACCCTTCTGAAGACATCCGAGCCACTAGCACCGTCTCCCAGCGTCTTGCGGAGGCGTTTGCCAAGAACTCTGCCCCCCCTCGGGATTCCATACCCGAGTGGGCGCGTGAGTTCAAGGATGTTTTCAGCAAGGAGTCCTTTGACAACCTTCCGGAACGTCGCCCCTGGGACCACGCCATCGAACTGGTACCCGACGCAAAGCCAATGAACTGCAAGGTCTACCCTATCTCCCCCTTGGAGCAGAAGCAGCTTGACGCTTTCATCGAGGAAGGCATGGCCGCCGGTCAGATCCGACCCTCGAAGTCCCCTATGGCCTCCCCCGTCTTCTTTGTCAAAAAGAAGGACGGCAGCCTATGGTTTGTCCAAGATTACTGGGCACTGAATGCAATGACAGTGAAGAATCGGTACCCCCTTCCCTTAATCAACGACCTGATCAATAAGCTCAAGGGAGCTCGCTTCTTCACCAAACTCGATGTTCGATGGGGCTTCAACAACGTACGGATACGAGAAGGAGATGAGTGGAAGGCTGCATTTCGGACTAACCGCGGGCTCTTCGAGCCACTGGTGATGTATTTCGGCCTCACCAACTCCCCTGCAACGTTCCAGACTATGATGAATGACATCCTCCAGGACCTCATACTCTCTGGCGACGTCATGGTGTACCTGGACGACATCCTCATCGCGCACTCCAACCTTCACCTCCATCGTCGTATCGTGAACGAGGTCCTCTGACGCCTTCGCAAAAACAAGCTGTACCTCCGAGCTGAGAAGTGCGAATTCGAGATGGAGTCCATCGAGTACCTTGGCGTGATCATCTCCCACAACCACGTCGAGATGGACCCGTCAAGGTGGCAGGAGTAGCCGAATGGCCGGCTCCCTCTAACAAGAAGGAAGTGCAGCAGTTCCTTGGGTTCACTAACTTCTACCGGAGGTTTATTCAGGACTTCTCCCACGTTGCGCGCCCGCTCTTCGACCTCACCAAGAAGGACGTATCATGGTCTTGGGGCGACAACGAGTCCGCTTCGTTCCAGGCCTTGAAGGATGCAGTCACCTCTACACCGGTTCTTCTCCTCCCAGACTCCTCTCGTCCTTATTGCCTAGAGGCTGATAGCTCCGATTTTGCTACAGGAGCCGTCATCTCGCAGCAGTCCCCCTCGGACGACAAGTGGCACCCAGTCGCCTTCTTTTCCAAGAGCCTTAACGACGTCCAACGCAACTACGAGATCCACGACAAGGAGATGCTCGCAATTGTGCGTGCGCTGGAGGAGTGGCGGCACTTCTTGGAGGGCGCCGAATACCCCGTGGAAATCTGGACCGACCACAAGAACTTGGAGTACTTCCGCAAGGCCCAGAACCTCAATCGCCGGCAAGCCCGATGGTCGCTCTACTTGTCCCGCTTCGATTTCACGCTCCACCACCAACCTGGCCGGCTCATGGGACGACCAGACGCACTCTCCCAACGCCCGGACCACGGAGCCCCCTCGGACAACACAGATGTCACCCTGCTGAGACCGGAACTGTTCCATGTGCGTGCACTCGAGGGACTTTCCGTCTCTGGCCCGGAAGCCCCGCTTGTCCGTGACATTCGGGAATCGCTTTCCGGTGACCCTGACCTTGAGGAAGCTGTTGCGCTCGTAGCGCGACAGCTTCTAAAGGGGATGAAGGGGGCCCGCTCTGCAGTCACAGCAGAGTGGCGTGTCCAGGACGGCCTGCTCTACTTCCGTGGGAAACTGGTGGTTCCGCGCGACAAGGACCTTCGACGACGCATCCTCGAGCAACATCACGACACCCGTGTTGCAGGGCATGCTGGCCACTTCAAGACGCTAGAGCTGGTCTCTCGGAACTACTGGTGGCCCCAACTTTCACGACACGTCGGCCGATACGTGGCCACCTGCGACCTGTGCTGTCGGACCAAGGCTCTCCGACGACTCCCCACTGGAGAGCTTCACCCCACAGAGATCCCCTCGGAACGTTGGGAATCGGTGTCGGTGGACTTTATTGTTGAGTTACCGGAGGCGCACGGCTATGACGCTATCATGGTGGTCGTTGACATGCTAGGGAAGCGTGCCCACTTCATCGAGTGCCACACTCGCCTCTCGGCCAAAGGGATGGCTCGGTGATTCTACAAGCACGTCTGGCGACACCACGGGTTACCTATCAAGTATGTTTCCGACCGCGGCCCTCAGTTTGTGGCGGACTTCACCCAGGAGCTATGGAAGCTGGTTGGCGTTTCCCCTGCCACGTCCACTGCTTATCACCCGCAGACTGATGGCCAGACTGAGCAGGTCAACCAGGAGCTGGAGCAATACCTCCGGATCTTCACCAGCTACAAGCAGGACGACTGGGACGAGCTCCTGCCCGCAGCCGAGTTTGCTTATAACAACCATGTCCACTCCTCGACCCAACAGGTTCCCTTCATGACGGACACAGGACGCTTACCACGCATGGGATTCGAGCCGACAGAGCAGCGCTCCACCCGAGCAGAGTCTGCCAACGAGTTTCTGGATCGGGTCGCATCGGGCGTAACCGAGGCCAAATCAGCACTGGTCAAGGCAAAGGACGAGTACAAGAGGTACTATGACCAACGAAGGACTGCCGCTCCCGACATCAAGGTTGGCAGCCGAGTCTGGCTCGACGCCTCGGACATCACAACAACGCGACCCTCTTGTGGCCTCTCCCACCGACGCCTGGGCCCCTTCAAGGTCACCCAAGTCGTAGGTCAAGGCGCATACAAGCTCGCCCTCCCCACTAGCCTCTCTCGCCTCCACCCTGTCTTCCCCGTGGTCAAGCTCCAGTTGGCCGAAGACGACCCGTTCCCCACTCGCCCGCGTCACAAAGAACCACCCCCTGTCCTAGGACAAGGCGAAGGAGAGGAGTGGGAAGTGGAGGAGATCCTAGACGCAAAGATGCGATACCGGAGTGTCTGGTTCCGAGTGCGATGGAAGGGCTATGACCCATCTCATGACCAGTGGGTCAAGCACTCAGATGTGTTTGCTGACGACGCAGTGGCAGCATTTTACCGCAGATACCCTGGGAAGCCACGTGTCATCGCAGCGGCCGTATTTGACTCGCTGCCCTTCAGGGACTCGTCAACCCCCAACCGTGCCTTGCGTCGAGGCGCCGCAATCAAGAGGGGGGGTGATGTCAGGGGAACCCCTGCTTTCGTCCGATCATCCTGGGATCTTGCATGTGACCGTGCACGCGCCATCTGTCAGGCGTCACATGCTTTGGTCCGAACTTCCCTGCCAAGCGCATCCACATGACACTCGGGCCCGGACCCCCATTGTTCCAACGGTCCGGCTCCCATTGTTCTCCCCCGATCCGGCCCCTCATTGTTCCCTGGCCCCATTGTCTGGCGCTTCCATTGTGCTTGGTCATCCATTGTTCTGTAGGCTATATATAGTGGGCCCTGACAAGGAGAGTCCCCAACTCGGTTTCTCTTTGGACTCTCCCTTGTCAGGTTTGCCAGTCTCCTGTACTAGTCGATCCCTTTATCTGACACTTTGGACTCTCCCTTGTCAGGACTCTGAGATCGGGCCTCGAGGTTGCCCTTACAGATCTCAACAATGCCCAAAGGCGACAACACTAAATGCCGCGACTAAACCAGATGCGGCGAATCCGACTTTCTGATATCTCAACTCAAACTCAAATCACAGTAGCTACAAGTGCTCAGGGAGCAACTCGTCACAACCGGGCAGGGGTAGCAGAACTTCTTAGGGCGGAATCACGTGGCATGCAAATTGTACAAAACAATCTGATATGGAGTGATTCACAGTCCTGGGGGAAAGCTTTCTAATACAAAGAAACAACGTGCTACTTATACTGTCTACGACGATGCTTAGTAAAGTCCTGTACAACTGCATAGTAGCTACGCTATCTAAGATCGGTTGCCTTTTAGGGTAATTGAAAAGTTGAATGATCGGACAGGTCCTGAGTGATCAGGACCCCGCCCCATTGTCCATATGATACTTTTGATGTGGGTCAACCCACCGCGTCATACTTTGGAATACAACGTGCTGGATTGGCCAACGGGTATGTCTTGGCGGGTGAGTCCAACGTGGGTGCCCCAAGAAGCCGTATGGCCCCAGGCACGCCAGACATTCCTCACATGGTTTGGTT